ATATTTTCTTTAAATTTCACGTACCCCCGGGGGTACGCGTACCACACGTTGTATACCACTGGTCTAGATGACACTATGATACCGGCTGAGGAAAAGTTTAATATCATCACAAAGGAAGGATGGAGCTCGAGGTGCACCAATTCCCGTCAGTTCGAATATAATTACGTACGGTTGGAACTTATTATTGACGACGTTTCGGAACAAATTATAGTTAACTTCCAAACGACAGTGATATCAGCAGTTGCAGAAGAATATTATGGGGAATTAAGTGGAATAGAAGTTTTGTAAAATGTTCATGAGCCACTGGAGGTAATTCGATCTGCACTCATGTTCTTGTGTTTAGTAGTACAGAGAAATCTGTTCCCCTACTCGCCCCACTATCGCTAGCAGACAGCGTCCTTACCCTCCCTCTCACGCATCTCAACGCTCTTGTCTGAGCAAACAAATAATACCGGGAACTGCTGTCATGAGATAAGAGTTGTTTGCACCCATCAGAAATACGTAGTATTTGCAATGTCTTAGTCATGAGTGAAACAGTACAAGGTTTTACGTATTCCTGCCTTTGGAGTTGCTCGTGGCGGTTCGTGGACTCACTAGCCTCTTTTCCGGCTGGTCACAGCATCGACTACAAAGTCGTGCGACGTAGTTTGGACACAAACTTCTTTCCATTTTATCAGGAGAAATGTACTATGTCCTTTCCTGTTTACTCCGACAGGCTTTCAGCCTTCTCAGAAGCATAACCTAACCTTGAATCTCTTCACATAATATAAATTAGCTGGTATCTTAATTATACAATGGTACGTATCTTCCGGTTTTCAAGTTTACGTCTTCTTAAACAAATAACAGCAATATCAAAGCGTTTGCAAAATGTAAGCGTAGTAAAAAAATCTTAGTCGAAATTAAATTATCGTAGTTGATGACGTATTTATTTATATTTTATTGGCGACAGTTAAGTATAAATCGTCAAGTCTTTGAAACAAACAATAACATCTGAGAAGTTTCCTGGTTCAAATATTCATGTAGATTAATATTTTAATATTTTCCGTCAAATCACAATTTTTAATAAGATAATAAAATATAAAATATTTAAAATATCATTTCACGTTCCGCATCGAATGATCGATTTTCAAATTGGAACGTATTTGTAAATCGATCATTCGATGCGGAACGTGAAATGATATTTTAAATATTTTATATTTTATTATCTTATTAAAAATTGTGATTTGACGGAAAATATTTAAAAAAAATATTAAACAATAAACCTATTATAACGGAATAATCATATTTTTCAATTAATGTTTGTTGATGTAATCTCTAAACAATCAAATAGGCACACATAGAGAACTGAATAAAAGCGAAACAACTCATTAGCACTCCGTGTAGTGTCTCGCCACTCGAGATCTGAAAGCATGCGATGGTCTCTTACGGGGTTTTATGAAATATAAGATGGAGTTTACAAAAAAGAAAAATGACGGACAATTGAAGAAATTCAACACGAAATTTCCCAGTGAATAAATTATAGCTGCAATTGTGCGAAATTCACGAATACGGCAGCAGATGCTATTCGACGCTGATGGTGATTCCCAATCTCGAAACACTACTGAACTCAAAAACACCATCAGTGTTGTTTTAGAAAAAATCAAAAAATGAATATGGGATTTTAGATCTTATGGGTTAATATTTTATGATTGTGTGTTTGTTTATTACTAGAGACATTATCGTAATTGTTTAAGGGCAATTTTATAATTTTTAAATAATTTTCAGCATGGAATGTGTTAACATCCACTACAACATAAATAATTTTGAATAAAAATTTTCTTGGATATTATCCATCTCCGAAACGTCGTTTTTTACGTTTTATATTTACTAGACGATGGATAATATCCAAGAAAATTTTTATTCAATTGACTCTTCACCATCGTCAAGAAGTTTTAGATTTGATATAAATAATTTTGATTCTCTGCATTGTTTGACATTATTTCAACTACTCAGATTATTCAGAGTCAAATAAGTCGTGAAGAGACATTAGGTAAATATTAATTTGTCAGTAGATAAAGACTTGGAAAATGGAGATCGTGGACTATTTTTAATACTGTGTTAGCTGTATATTATAATAAAGTAACCTTCTCCACACAGTAATGTTTAAGAAATTTGTACATTTTTTACTTATAAGACGTCTTGATGTTTATTTTACTCGGTAGAATGTTGCGGACATAAGTAGTCAACCTTCAGGTTATACACTGCGTCCTTTGACATAGTTACACGCAACACCAAGATTTTGACCATACGATTCAGGTGTTGGGAATAATGTCCCGACAGTATCGTTCATTCAGTACTTTTTCGTTTCACCTTCTGAAGATTTGAGATGAAGGGTCTTTTGTGCAAGGTGTCTGAGTGATTTCTGTTGAGTGTCTTACAACCAAGCCGCTATTTCGTGTGGTTCTTGTTAGGAGAGCAAACGTTCCTTTAGCAGCTTTGTTGTTCAGAAGTGGCTCAGACAAGTTTATAGATGCCTGGTGAGCTTAAACTGTGATCCCTTGGAATTCACGACAAAGTTTTTTCAGGCCCTTTCCAGCGGTATCACATTTCACACACGATTCACACAGAAAGACACGCTTAAAAGTGTGTCGAAACATATACAAACACATAACAATAACGGTACTTGTTAAGATATCGCACACAGCTGTACTGTTGTGTGATTAATTTTGGCAACCGTTGGTGTTAACGCTGGACGGTGACTCGTTCAGTTCCTGCCGAGAGTCGGCAACTGAAAGTTGCGTTGAACTTTGTCAGCGAACGATCTGTGCTGTGGTGAATATCAACAGTGTGTAAGATTGAACTAAACAAATAAGTTGTAAACTTTTTAAAAGTATGTTGTAGCACAGAATGAAGTCTTGGTTCAACGTCACCTGATGCTAAAGCCTCTGTGTGAATGATTCAGTGTTTAAAGTTTACGCGAGGACAAATTTGACGTAGTTCAGACTGAAAGCCTTTCTTGTGTCTTGTCAAAGCTGTACAAATGTCGACGCAGCTTGTCCAAGAAAAAGATTCTGCTGTGAAATAATCATTCACTGTCTTGACTGTAACACTCCCTGTCAATCTGTCTGAAGGCGGTTGACACAACGTGAACTCTTCCTTCATGTTTTCTTCCAAAGAGTTTCAAACAGATACCAGCAGCTGAGCTAATCCTGCAACATCTGTTGATTCGTCTTCTGGGTTGTTGCGGTGTGTTGTCTGTTAGATTTCTACCTTTTTTCAGAGGTCCTTGTTCCCTCCATCATCACAGCTATGATTAAGAGTATTACTCATAGCCCTGATGATGGAGGCGGCAAGGACCTCCGAAACATTGGAACATTTCTGCCAGATTACAAGACGCGAGAACTCAGACGACAGCCATCTTCAAGGTAAATACATTTTCATCAGCTGGTAGCTCAGTTTTGGAGCAATCCCGCCTATGGCCGGTGCGTCGTATTGTCTGCACCATGGGGCAGATTCCTTCTTCGTCCACTCCTGCTTATCGTTCCCGATGTCATATTTCCCAATTATTGTCGCTTCTTATAATTACACTTCCACAGGCACATGCGTGCATAAGGCGTTCTGTTACAATAATACTGCTCGTTTTCTGCGTTAAAATGACACAAACTTGAAGCCACAGATTTAGACAAATTTGTCTCAAATATAACAAAAAATCTGACGGCTGGAGCAGGTTAGTTGTTTATCACATTTATGGCTACTTACAACTTCAAAATTCTATCTCATGCGTAGTAATGCACTTATGTCGATTAAGTTAGCACAACGTTTCAGTATTCCACGACACTTCTGTCATCTGAAATGCGGGTGGTGTCGGGTGTTGAGACTGTGTTGACACCGTCGAAGATGATGTTAGGGCAGACGATAATGTTTAAGTTAAGTCTGTAGATGGCTGATGTGTTACTGTTGACTGAGGTAGGCGCTTTGTAGTTGATACTGGCTCGTTCTGTCCTGATGCTGTCAATGTTTCAGGCACTGGGACTGTCTCTGGTGTTGAACACAACCTTAAGGGTGTTAACGGAGACGTTAAGGCCGACTGCGATGATGCAGAAACGGCTAACGGCTGTGGCGACTGTAGCACAATGGTGGAATACAGCTGTGTCAATGAGATTGCCGATATGGGTGGTGTTGAGTTTGTCGTTGGTGTAGGCGAAACAGGGGTGTGAAGCCCGAGTCCTGGAGTGCTGGTACTCATGGACACCATAGCTCGTATTGCCTCCTCGTAGCTGGGGGGTGGAGATACGCCCCGGGCCGGTATCGCAGTTAAGAACTTGTAGGACTGATGATGGTCGAATGGAGGCGGTGGTGTAGCTGTCTGTGGTTCAGCTGTCAGATGCAAGGGCGGATTGTGGCCTGCCTCTATCTGACTGGCCCTGTCTGTTCTCTGAAACATGAGGTGGTCCGGATTACACACATATGAGAAATTAGAAATTGGTTGCAGTAATTTAATGATTTAATCTGTAACTTCCAAAGTGTGATACCACTATTTTGCGGTAGGCGCAGATAGGTCATAGAATGAAGTGATTGGTTTAAACTGGCTCTGTACGAGTTTAGGATGTTGAATTTGTTGAATATATGAGTGAAAATTTGATATGAAGAAGTACGGAATTGCTTGATTACCTGAATAACCAAAGTTGAGGAAATCTGTACGATATTGTTGTCAATCTATGTTCATTAGTCTGAATTATTCTCTGTTCTGCGTACAGGGTCTGAGCGCTGGTTGAACTTTCAGCCCTTTTTGTATGCATATTTAAGATGCACACCCGAATTAACACCTCGCCCCATAATTTGGAGCACTTAAAACGCCTCTGGACGTTTTAAACAGTTGGTTTGGGGAAGTTGGACGTTGAGTACCTGTCTCGAATGTCTGCCCTTGTGCATCAGACACCATACGACGTAGGCGAACAGGAAGGCGATCAAGACGGCACTGGTGAGGGTTGCGAGGTACTGGATACCGGCAGTTTGCACCAACCAAAACGACAGACCGAGCAGCATGAGCCCTATGAGGAAACTCTTGATCAACCAGTTGAGGTGCATCGTGACTCCGGCCTCACCTCTTTCCGGTGGGCGCGAAGTGAGCTCCGGCCCACTGTCTCTCCTCGGCGGGTAGAAAGGCATCCTGCTCAAAGAGGTGAAGAACAACGTCTGCTGAAAGTAGGATTTATTTTGATATCGACAAATCGACACGTTATCGTATAAAATATTCGATATCGATATCAATTTAAGTTTGTGGATATATCGCTTGATTCTCTTTATTATTTATAGAAACTGAAAAAATTCTACACTGAAATTGTAAACCTGAAGCCGATTCTCTGCAGAATATTTTAAGCAAAGTTTTAGAAGGAATTTTCGCCGTAAAATGTGAAACTATTGTCAGTTCTGAATTGCGCCGTGCTGTAATGGTATGGTCGATATTTTCTGGGACTGAAGGGTGACATTTTCATAAATATTCGAACAGGAGAGAGAGAGAGAGAGAGAGAGAGAGAGAGAGAGAGATTGATTCTACACAAAAAAGAGACACGAACGGTTGTCAAGAAAACGATTAGACCTGAGTGTGTTAAAAGGGACACGTGTCTGATGCATTATCATGGAAATGATAAACACTCGGTAAGGTGATTTAGATCAGAGTAGTTAAATGGCATGTTGTTTTGCTCTGTGAATAGAATAGAACGCAGTTTACCTCTTAACAGTCTGAGCTGAGTCATAACTGGAACACTGTCAGAAGAAAAAGAGAGAGCGAAAATAAAATAAGAAATAAATAATATAAGGAAATAGCATTCATGTGGAATTAGGCCTTGGGAGATGTTCGCTCGTGCTGCAGACCGAAGATAAAAGATCATTGCTCCAGACAACTGTGATGTCACTGGCATCGTTCACAAACGTAAAAGATTAAATTCTGGTAAAGCGCTGTGCGCGCGCGTACATTTTATTATGACTTGCGGCTTACGCAAGAAACTATCTACATTTGCTGGTGGCAGGATTTTTTTGAAATCCGAAACTACTTTTGTGCTTTCCGGATTACCGCTGTGGTGAGTCAATTTGTAACGCTTATAAATTTATGTTAAATTTTTTTGTGAAGGAATTTTTAAACGTGTACATTTTGTGTTTAGTAAAATAACACGAAAGTTGGCGTTAACAGCAGTCTTCATTCCCCCTACCGGAACTACAAAGTGTTCATTAAACTTCTATCCCACCAGTCGCCGTTAGCGAGAGATTGCTGGAAGTTATTTATTTTCATATACCAGTCCACATGCAAAGATTATGGCCCCGTTAACAGGCATGCGTGCTTTAAAACATTGAGAACAGCAGACAGATATTAGCGTACCGCGTCCGAATTAATTATTAAATTATATGACAGTATACCTCTGACGTGTGTGTTACTTTTCGTACCTAAAGATAGAGGCAGCACATTCCTCCGAAACCTTAGTAACCTGTATATCAACATAGGGTTACTATTTATAAAAATGGGGTTGTATCGCCCACGGTCACTTCGAAACATCTTCCTCCATTCTAAAACAGTTGCCTACCCTGAGTTTAGGCACGTTAGATAATGCTAATTTACGTGTCGTGACTTTTACAGCGTATAACCTTAATTATTTGACATTTTCCATGCCACGCACGGGATTAGTCGTCTAAATTCACTAATTCTTTCGAACTTTATTTACGTATTTGATAACTGAGAAGACGAGCGAAGGAAATGCATCAGGCAATCTACGAGCTCTAAAGTTTAAAATGTTCTCAAGTATCCGTGTTTTCCAGCACTAAGAACCTAATGCCATTTTGAAAAGAACAGGAGATATCTCTCGCGAAAACAAAACCTAGAAATGAAAGTCTTAAAAGGTTGTTCTTAGTCCCTGCATCTTAAGGTACGTCACCTAAGAGTTGGATTATGGTGATAGATTGAGAAAAATTTAACTTCACATAGATTTGGGGAAGATATTTGCAAAGGAATGTTTCGCGTTGATTTAGAGCGAAGGCCACTCAGTTATAATAACATCACATTAGTCCGTGAAAACAGCCCAAGTTACAATAGTAAAGCATAACGTACATGTTCACAGTGAAAGTTGTTTAAAACAGCTGTTACAACGTACATTTTATAAATTGTTTTCTGTCAACATTTATGCGGAAGTGTAAAATCTTCAATCTAATCCTTCTCCATTAAGTATGCTTTATGATTTGCGTATACTATTAACGTGTAATTAAAGAGATGCTTTAACTAATTTGTTTTGCAAATAGAAGGGAGAATGAATGACGTATAATATATTTCAATGTCTTGTATCCATTGTTTAGTGTTAATTAAAAGAAAAAGACAGTTTAAAACTTCAGATACTCACGATGACAAACATCTGGTCTGTGTTCCTCTAGGTGGCCTTGTAGGTGGTTACCAGCGTTTCGGAGGAACGTGTCTTCAAAAACTTATACCCCGAAGAAGGAGGATGGAGCTACATTATGTCTTAACTCAGAGAATAACAGTCTAGGAGCAGATCAGTTCTTGGCCATACGAGCTAGTGTTCAGCTGTTCACGGGAAACTACGTCATGTGAGCTAGTCGCAGCTGATCTGTTTTAACACAGTGGTTCCTGACTGTGCCACTGTTCGGGCTTTCTCTCGCTACTTCAGTAGCTTCGTGACCCTCGGTCCTGAAATAACTTCACCTGTTTACACTTGGCCAGCACGCCAATGCATCCTTATGTCACGGAAATTAGCATTTCGGGGCACAGCAAAATAATCCCGGGCTCTTCGGAAATTAGCATTTCGGGGCACAGCAAATAATCCCGGGCTAGTTTGTATCTGAATAAAGAGGCAAGCAGATACACAAATACTCCGACGTCCTCGAGGCGTCATTTCTTCTCGTATGTTAACATTTCCCACACATTACAACGGAGAGGCCAGGAATTTAAAAGATTCTACTCATTTGGAACGTCTGCATGTCTTCGAATGCGGATTGATTCTTAGGTTGTTTAGCTGTGGGGTTTCAACAGCCACGGTTGCATGACTTTGAATGAACTGTGAAATCCACCGTGAATTGTACGTATGGGTTTAGAAAGAGGCGGACTGTTGTTTCAGGATATATTTGCCTTGGGAGATAAAAACACAGGATAATAACTCGGTAGAAATTTGAACCTTGTATCTACCGAATAAAAAAAATATATTGTTAACGCTACATTATCCTCGTCGCTGAAAATATTATGATGAGGTTTTGTAGAAACACGAAGCTATTTACACTAATTTGTTATATTCTTTACGACTAATAAATTTAATAACAAATTCTGAGTACTGTGAAATAAAAACTCTCCGTGCATTAAAGTAGAATAACCGAAATAAACAATAACTTTATAATAAATCGCGCTGTAATTTGCATTTGGTGCATGAAATGAACGCATGTAATACGTCGCGCTGCTAAAAAAATGCTTTATAAGCATCTAGCGCTTGAAAATAATAAAGTATTTTCTTTATCTTCAAGTTTAAGCTTAATATATTTTAACAGGATTTGCTTCTTTTATTGAAAAACTTTCGACCTGACTTCATTCAAATTTCCGGCTAGGTTCATATTTCCTTGGAGTCTTTGTGTGTTGGTGGTAAATTCTGACCGCAGCAGGTAACCGGCTAACATACACTGCTTACTTTCTCGGAGATAGCAACGCCTAACGTTTAAAAACCACTGACCCTACTCTGAAGTACATAAAGCATAACGTACATGTTCACAGTGAAAGTTGTTTAAAACAGCTGTTACAACGTACATTTTATAAATTGTTTTCTGTCAACATTTATGCTGAAGTGTAAAATCTTCAATGTAATCCTACTCCATTAAGTATGCTTTATGATTTGCATATACTATTAACGTGTAATTAAAGAGATGCTTTAACTAATTTGTTTTGCAAATAGAAGGGAGAATGAATGACGTATAATATATTTCAATGTCTTGTATCCATTGTTTAGTGTTAATTAAAAGAAAAAGACAGTTTAAAACTTCAGATACTCACGATGACAAACATCTGGTCTGTGTTCCTCTAGGTGGCCTTGTAGGTGGTTACCAGCGTTTCGGAGGAACGTGTCTTCAAAAACTTATACCCCGAAGAAGGAGGATGGAGCTACATTATGTCTTAACTCAGAGAATAACAGTCTAGGAGCAGATCAGTTCTTGGCCATACGAGCTAGTGTTCAGCTGTTCACGGGAAACTACGTCATGTGAGCTAGTAGCAGCTGATCTGTTTTAACACAGTGGTTCCTGACTGTGCCACTGTTCGGGCTTTCTCTCGCTACTTCAGTAGCTTCGTGACCCTCGGTCCTGAAATAACTTCACCTGTTTACACTTGGCCAGCACGCCAATGCATCCTTATGTCACGGAAATTAGCATTTCGGGGCACAGCAAAATAATCCCGGGCTCTTCTGTATCTGAATAAAGAGGCAAGCAGATACACAAATACTCCGACGTCCTCGAGGCGTCATTTCTTCTCGTATGTTAACATTTCCCACACATTACAACGGAGAGGCCAGGAATTTAAAAGATTCTACTCATTTGGAACGTCTGCATGTCTTCGAATGCGGATTGATTCTTAGGTTGTTTAGCTGTGGGGTTTTAACAGCCACGGTTGCATGACTTTGAATGAACTGTGAAATCCACCGTGAATTGTACGTATGGGTTTAGAAAGAGGCGGACTGTTGTTTCAGGATATATTTGCCTTGGGAGATAAAAACACAGGATAATAACTCGGTAGAAATTTGAACCTTGTATCTACCGAATAAAAAAAATATATTGTTAACGCTACATTATCCTCGTCGCTGAAAATATTATGATGAGGTTTTGTAGAAACACGAAGCTATTTACACTAATTTGTTATATTCTTTACGACTAATAAATTTAATAACAAATTCTGAGTACTGTGAAATAAAAACTCTCCGTGCATTAAAGTAGAATAACCGAAATAAACAATAACTTTATAATAAATCGCGCTGTAATTTGCATTTGGTGCATGAAATGAACGCATGTAATACGTCGCGCTGCTAAAAAAATGCTTTATAAGCATCTAGCGCTTGAAAATAATAAAGTATTTTCTTTATCTTCAAGTTTAAGCTTAATATATTTTAACAGGATTTGCTTCTTTTATTGAAAAACTTTCGACCTGACTTCATTCAAATTTCCGGCTAGGTTCATATTTCCTTGGAGTCTTTGTGTGTTGGTGGTAAATTCTGACCGCAGCAGGTAACCGGCTAACATACACTGCTTACTTTCTCGGAGATAGCAACGCCTAACGTTTAAAAACCACTGACCCTACTCTGAAGTACTTTAAATCTCATAAGTAGAATCAGTATGTTTTTTTTTCTTTTCGAATTTATCTTTTTGTAAGATCTCACGTTATATGGTTCCTCGCTACTTGTCCAGACTGCACACTGTGTGGATTTTAACCAAACACTGAAAATATAAATTATTTTTATGCTTGTCTGTGGATATGTCTAACCGGACTAATTACTTTAATACCTAACCAATTAAAAAACAAAATAATCATCTGACTAATATTCACTACTGCAACAGAAGAATCGGTAATCTTTATGACAGCGACTAAGGCAGTTAGAATACTTACGCGATCCATTCTTCAAGTGCCTGAGCACTGCGGGTCCCAACTTTTACTTGGTTTTGATCTATAGACATTCGGTAGGACTCCTTGGATGAGGGATCGGCCCGTCGTAAGGCCTCTACCTGTACACAGGACAGCACAACACAGAAAGACGCGGACAAACATCGGTGCCTTGAGTGGGATTCGAACCCACGGTCCCAGTAACCAAGCGGCACAAGGCCCACGCCTCAGACCACGCGGCCAGCCTAAATATCCTTTAAGCAAACAACAGTCCGACCGAAAATAAGTCCACTTTAATGCCTCACCTACAAAGAACTAGCAACATAACTGATTAACTAAAAATAACTTGTTAACCGGACATTTTAGACGATAAGAGAGGGACTGACGAGCTCAGAAACCGACGACATATCTAGTTGACTGGTGGATTAACGTACTAAGCACGTACCTACAATACGTCCCCACGCCTCAGAAAACACAGTGACACGACTACTCAGGAAATGTTCGTGTTTGAAGGACAACCAGAGGCTTATTACCATAATACCTGTCTCGAACCGGGTCGTTTGAAACACAGAATGTCTCATTAGGTTACGATACTGCCCGCATCGCAGACAATTCTTCATCCCACGCGTGTTGAGAATGCAAACTTCCCAAGATCCTGCAGTAGACGTCATGCAAGGGGAAATTATCAGCCTATTTTTACAACAGATGCGGGTCAGCACAGTTTTCTTTCTCGTCTAACAAGCCATTAATGCGCAACCGGTGTACCACGAGATTTTCACCTCATATTATAATTATAACCATAATGAGACAAATAATTGTTAATCTTGTTTTCAACTCTGTCTCAGTTTTAATGTTCTTTATTATGATCGTGCACAGATAAGATCTACTAAACGGAATTTGAAAACAACACAACGACTTTTGCAGCAAAACATGTTTACCCACGGTTTACATGTACAAATATAAATAAGTATCTTCAAGTTCAAAAGTTTACACAAAGTTAATAAATTTTGGATCAAACTGTAAGAGATCGTATTTTGATTTATTTCAATTAATTAAAATATTTAAAATAAATTATATAATAATAAAGATGTATAATTATAAACATGAAATAGAACTTTTTTTTCGGTTGGGGACGATTTATAAGAAGTTTTGGCGGTCAATCAATGCCATAAACCATCTACCTCCCCCCCCACACGATATGCAAAATGGGGTTGGTATGCCGCCATTACTCTTGGACAATATTTAGTGTTACGCGAGTGTAGAAAGATCGTGTAACACAGATCTAAGATATTGTTATTGTTTCCTTCTGCGACATTACCACATGAGTACAATGCACTGAGCGTGCAACTTCTGGCTAACGTGTTTCTCTATTCTGCATCTCCTTCGTGTTGCAATTGTACAGGCTTGCCTCGGGTTGCAACGGCCGTGTAATAAGACCAACTCACAGATACGATATTTGTGCATTGATACCATGATTCACGAATTCGCCCGACCAGTCTCGAGTGATTTTCTTCTGGACGAACGAACGGGCTCGCTAGTGTTTTATTTGCGTAATGGCGACTGTGTTATGTTTGTTGTGAACAGTGTTCTATACTAGGACATTTGAGTGAATTACTTGGAGTTTGTGCTACATAATTTTATAGAGTTTTAATCTAGAAACAATGGCAGAAAAGAATAAAAAGTGTGTGACGATAACGAGCTCATAAAACATATGTCTGAAAGAAGACGACGTCTTGAAACGCTTTGACAATGGAGGACATGGTGAATGAGCACGTTCATTGGGGTCATCACGTTGTACTGTGAGTACTCTAGTTAAAATACAGACAAATTATGGAGGTAGCTTTAGAAAAGACGAGAATTTATTTACGTTCTGTAGACTCTACATAGGCCCAAGCCAAGTATGTATTAATAAAACATGTCATAGCACAAATACATACTTGTTCCTAATACAAGTATACATTACAAAGTTGTGACAGTAATTTGCAGTCAACTACAGTGTTACCACCAAAATAATTACACAAAAAAGCACACCCAATGTTACCTACGTGTATTTATAATAGCTGATAATTTTTGTTTGAGGTAAATTCTTCTTTGGAGTAGGAGTGAGATGGGAGATACTCTTTTAGTGTTGATTTAAAATTCTTTATATCCTGATTCAGAAGTTTTGTAGTGGGAGGAAGATTTATAAATAGCTTAATTCGAGTATTGTGAACTACGTTTTGATATTTATTCAGTTTAGTGACTGGCATATGGAGGTTATGTCTACATCTTGTATTTATATTGTGGATATCTGAATTTGTGTGGAATTTTTCTATGTTGTCCACTAAAAATTATGATAATGAGAAGAATAATTTAATGTCTAGTGGAAGAGTATTGAACTCCTTAAACTATTCAATTCTAGGCTCCCCCTTTAGTGCCTGTTATTATTCTAATAAGTTTCTTTTAAAAGTGAATCTTTTGTTGTCTGTTAAGTTTCCCAAGACATGATCGAATGGAAGAAAGTGAAGTAGACTAATTTTAAAGTTTGTTTTCATGATGTAAGTTCTCATAGCAAAGCATAGTGAGCTTAGTTAAGGGATAATATATTGAATATGTATTTCCCAGTGTAATGTCAATTGCAAGAAATTTAGGTGTTTCTGCTTCTTCAATTGATATATTCTCATGCTCTATACCTAGCTTCTTGGAATTTGTTTTGTCAACATTTAATGTGAGTTTATTGGCTTTAATCCATTTTTACAGGCTGTCAAAGAAATCATTTGTGCAAATTTGGAAACAGTCAGTTTCTGGATTTGAAATAATAATATTAATATCATCTGCAGAAAGTATGGGTTTAGACTGTGGTTTAATGGTTGACAGTAAATCATTAATATATGTGAGGAAAAGCAGAGGACCAGATATTGAACCTTGAGGGACTTCCTGTTTTATAATGCCTCATTTGAATAGGTGATATTATTTGAATCTGGTGATTTTATTGCTGTCATGAAGGTACAATTTAAACCAATGACCAGCTATATTTGGAATTCCATTAAAATTTAATTTTGACAGTAATAATTCATGATTTGCACATTTACATGCTTTAGAATGAACTCAAGATGTTCCATTAAAATGCATTTTGTTATTATTAAAAGCACTTATGATTTTTATGTAAAATTGAAAATGGCTTTATCAGTTAATAAAACTTTCCTAAATCAAAATTGTTCACTTCCAAGGACACTGTTTGAGTTTAAAAGAATTAATTTTTCCTTTATATATGACTTTATGAAGTAATTTAGTTAAAGGTGTCAGTAATGAAATTGGTCTGTAGGTAGATGAGCGTGACTTTAAGTCGCACTGGGGAAACTCCTGCCCCCATTGACTGTAAAGATAACATAAAGGAACATTAACTTGGATTGCACAACTTTTCAGTAAATTTGTTGTTGTTTCGTTATAACAATATGATTTTTTATATTAGAGAATTTATCATACTTTTAATTTCATTTACTGTTGTGGGCATAAAATTTATGTTTGGAAAGATTTGATTGCCTGAGTAAGATACCTTGTTGCGTCTTCTGTTGTTATGGTTATAGTGGCATTGTTCATTCTTTCAATAATTGTTAAGAAGTATTAAAGTAATTTGCTAAGAGTTTAGGATTTTTTATTTCATTATCATTTATCCTTATTGAAGGGGTCACTACGTCTGTAGAATATTTCTGTTTTCCAGACTCCTGTCATCATATTATTTGTCTCCAGTATCTGTTTATTGTAATGCACGTCTATATCCTCATTTATGACTGAAGTATCTTGCAGTATTTTCTACAATGAATTTTTATTACAATTTAGTGAAAGGCCTTATTTATGTTTGCAAGATATTTTGATACTTTTAGTGTTCCATTCAATATTTTCGGAAATCCTTTTCACCGTTTTGGTGAGGAAACTTGCTTCAAACCATTTTAATAAGACGTTTAAGAATGTGTTAAATTCTGAATCTACATCTTGGCTATTTATTACTGAGTCCCGTCCCAGTTTTTATTATTTAAATATATTATGCGTTTTAATATGGTCTTCATTTATAAGTCTGAAACATTTCCTGTAATTGTGATAGTTGTGGGTTGATTCTATAGTTTTTATAATTAGACGCTGTAGAGAGTTAATTTATCACTCGTTCAATAGAAATATGATCTTTCCTGGAACTGTCTACAAAAACATCGTCATTGGCAGTGCTGGAATAATCTTGAATTATTTTTGTGAAATTAAACTATTAATACGAGATTGAAAGATGCTTGTATGGAGTTTAGACATTGTTTGTGGCAACTTTCGACAAGATAATTAATATTAATGTCACCACAAATGACAAATTCTGATGTAGGTTTACAAAAATAATTTAAAATGCTATCTGAATTGTTTAAGAAAGGTTAAAAATCATATATGGGAGCGATGTGTATAGCTGTAACACATATGTTAGAGACTTTAGATTTCAATTACACAACGAAGCATTCTTTGTCGTGTTCTCTGCATTGACGAAGTCAGGAATGGTGAACCCAAATCCTGATGTGTTGATTGAAGTGTGACTGGATGACGAAACACAGAATCGTATTCCAGTAACTTAGACCAGTGGTATTCAACCTTTTTTGTTCGCGTACCCCCAGATATAATTTCTCTTCAACTTTGTACCCCTAAAGTTATTGGTGTATAATTCAAGTTATATATAGTATATAATCTACATCTAAAATAAATTAAATAAATTACATTACTGATTATTCAATGTTTTTTTATAAAATCATATATTTTTTTAATTTCACTTACCCCCTAAGATGTCTTCGCGTACCCTCGGGGGCACGCGTACCCCCAGGTTGAAGACCACTGAGTTAGACCATTATTTCTGCTAAAGCAAAGAGTCTGTATGATGACATTGAGAAACGCATTGTCGATGAAACATCACATTCTGAAAATCATGGCTGGTTTGATAGTTTGAAGAGAATGGAATATTTGCATAATCTCAACTTAAACTTAGTGATGAAGGTGGAGTGCTAACAATGATGCTGCACAATTGTCTCAGTGAATTGAGGATGTTGGAATA